GCGTATTACGGATATAAAGGATTGAATTAGATTTAAAAAATGCAATTTAGAAGCTTTTTTGGAAGATACGTTGAGTATGTAGTAAGTTTTCTGGTAAATGTTGGGGTTTCGTGAGCATTCCTGATATTGCTGAAGATTATGATAGCATCAGATTGCGGGGTTGCTAGTGCAATAGGATGCTTTGTTGATTATTCATGAACTCTTGATTGCTTGTACATAATACTGATGAATATTTTAGGTGGACAAAAAGGCGAACTAAGAGGTGGACGCCTGAGCTTTTCCACATTTATATCGCTGTGAAGCAACTGTAAACTCTAGAGGGAATTTATATCTGCACAGATAAAAATTCTGAATTTTAATAGTGATATAAACATTCATTCACGTAAACTTGTATTCCATTTCACGCAACCGAGCAACTTGTAAACAATGTTGTTTACAACAATGGGCTTTTGTATACAACATTTGCTACATTGCATGAAATGTCTCAGAACTTTACATGATATATAATTTAAACTTATATGATATGTGACGCTCCATTTATGTGCATCATACTGAAAAGACATTTACACTACTTTTTCGAACTGTGTGTAACTGAAACCAGTTCGATTTTGTTTGCTAACCTGGTTAAAATGTCATATTTAATTATATTAAAGATAAATCGTCCAGCTCAAACCTTTGTAGGGGTAAGAGGTGCACAGCAAAAAAATCTTAATTTTAATTGTGATGTAAACATTCATTCACGCAAATTTGTATTTCATTCCACGCAAAGGAGCAACTTGTAAGCAATGTTGTTTACAAAGATGGGCTTTTGTATACAATATTTGCAATATTTTATGAAATGTCTCAGAACTTAACACGATTTATAATGTAAACTTATGTGATATGTGACGCTCCATTTATGTGCATCATATTGAACAGAAATTTACACAACTTTTCGAACTGTGTGGGACCATCATCATCATCATCATCATCATCAAAAATGAAACTGCAACACGATCAGCGCAACGCACAGTTTTAAACGGCGTTTAGTATTCATCCCTACATATGTGTGCGTGTGTGCAAATGATCACTTGATGGTCTTTGAAACAATTTCTGAGCAAACTGGTATCGTGAGTAAGTATCTGAAAGACGTGATTTAAATTGTTGGGCAGTTGAAGATCTTCAGAATTATACTAAATCAACCTGAAGACATGAGCACATCCTGAAAAGTTTTTGGAGATCTCTGATCACCTGAAGGCCTTTAAAATATTTGCTGAGTCACCTGGTATCATGATAGAATATCTGCGAGATTTGATTTGAATTGTTGGATAGTTTGAGATCTTCATCAGAATAGTACCTGATCAACCTGAAATCTTGAAAAAGTATACATGGAATAATTTCTAAGCTGCCTGGTATTATATGAGAGGATATCTGAGAGGTGGGATTTAGATTGTTGGATAGTTGGATATTTTCAGAATGATACGTGATCAACCTGAATTATTGAAAAAATATCTAAAGGGCTTCATGGAGATTTTAGTACACCTGAAGATCATTGGAATAATTTCTGAGCAGTCTGGTATCATATATGAGAGAATATCTTCTTGATGTTAAAGACACAAGCGCTTTCATGAAATACTGTGAAGATGCACAGGTTTTCATGAAGTTCTATAGAATATTATGAAATTCTCAGAACTACAATGATGTCCCCGATCTTTTACGAAATACCTCTAACTTCTTTGAAATTACCTAAACTTCAATAATAATCCCTGAAACTAATGCAGTTTACTGTTCTTCATGAAGATCATATTTTTTTTGTGAAGCTCTTCTTTATTTTAATGAAGTTCTCAGAACTTCTATAAAATATCCTAAAACTTCTCAGTAGTTCCTAAAATTTCTGTAAAATTTCCAAATTTCTTTTTATATTTTTATTTTTTAGAATTTACAAATTTATCTAAATTTCCAAACTATTAGCTATAGTCGAGCTGTTGCAAATCTGGTGCAAAATAGTGCTCGAATAATGAAACTGTAACTCATCATTACGAGGGGTGCGTTTCTGTTCTAGCTTGAAACAGTCCATTAAAAATACAACAACATTGCAAACGGCCTTATGGCTTTCAATCTCTTTCACCGACACTCTATCACCGCTCTTTCAATTTGTTTAATATGCTTTATGTCCCGTTTTCGTAACTTTTTTTAGATAATCATGTATATAGTAGATAAATTAAACATATTAAGTGTAATCTTCAAGTGTTTTCACGTGAGAAATGCTTTAAATACATATATTTTCATTTTCCGTCATGTACGTCATGAAACCGCGGTTGATGTGTTTCATGAAAGACGAAACTATCAAAGTCGAGCGCTCTTTTACTCGTCCGCTTCACCGAAAACCAATGAAGCGGCGGGAGGAAGAGAGACAAGCGATTAACAATTTGTTTGTACACGGAGAAAAAATACTACCCAAAATGTTAGTCCTTTTTACTTAACTTTGAGTTTAGCCTCTCACTTGCACTCATTATTGTTGTCAAAAAAGGAACGAGAGATTTGAACCAACGATATAGTTCAGCCCAAAAAGTTACTTCTGAGTAAATTGCATATTCTCTCAAATTTGCGTGAATTAAACTTAATTTTGGGTACAATATACTAAGTATTTTTTTTGCTGGTGTTAAATGAAAACTACTATATGCGATTTACTCAAATTTTGCTGATCCCGTGAATTGAGGGACAAGTACTTAATATTGGGTAGTTTTTCATCTCCGTGTAGACGCCGACTGAGGTTCTAGAATGCTGCAACGCTGTTCGACTTAAACAGAAAAAGAAAGCTAGCAGTCTCTTCGTTGCAGCAATTTTATCGATTGCAGGGCTGGTAGCCGATCACTTTTTAGTGGCTAAGTTACTATTTTCATGACAGTCACTAAAAAGCTACTTTTTTCACCTTAAAGTCACTAAAGTCACTATTTATTAAAATTTAGTCACCAAAGTAACTTTTTACAAACAACGTTGAGAATACAGAATTTGCCTTTAAAAAATCACATCAAATCACAGCTTTATTTGGTAACACATTTGTGTTCGAAAGATTCATTAAAGCAGCGTGTAAAGTCCGACAAAAAGAGTTGCTAACAGACGGGAACGTTAAATGTCCATTTGATGTTGACGGAATCACTCATATCGTTCTCAACCTCGTGATTTAGACATTCAAGTTCGTTATCTTCAAAATTTCTCCAGATTATGAAGTTCCTTTTTTTCCATTTTCTGTCATCTCGAAAGTGTCATAGACCTATCCTGTGGTTTCGATAAAAGCTCTAAACTTAATTTGTAGTGTAATGTATTCGAAGCCTAATATGTCGAAAATGGTCTAGGAAAATTTTCAAGCTCTCGACATTTTTTCAAAGGTCAGAAATTTACAAATTTTTGAAGGCCGGTTGCTATAGGATTTGTGCAAACATCGTGAAAAACATCATATCTCAGAATCTTGAGTTCCTTTTCAAAACCATTAAATTAATTGTATTGTATTTTTTCCATACTTCTAATCCGGAGTCACTATTTTCAATATTTTAGTCACTAAAGTCACTACTATTGTATCACACACCCACTACCAACCCTGCGATTGAAGCTGATATTGCAACGCACTGGCTAGGTCACTTTAAGTATGAGCGCTAAATTGGTTTTAAATTTTAAATTTAAACGAGAATGTTAGAATTTTAAGTTCAATTCTATCGTTTGCGAAAGTATCAATTAAATGGTTCAATGCTCTCATAGAACTTCGATTTCCTAACCACATTACAACATTGTGGTTGTGCTTCATTGCGCCTAATGCCGTTACTCCGAATGTCACTTCCCCGAACGCCAGTACCCGAATGGCTACTTCCCTGAATGAGATTTTGCCTTCTTTTGATTGCTGCTCGTTCTTTTCGCATTCGAGGAAATGGAATTCGGAGTAATGTAGCACAATCCAACAATGTATGTATCCAAGAGGTGACATTGGCTATGTTTGTTCGCATCAGAGTATTCACTCCGAAGAAATCGAAGCAGCAGCCGCAGATACTCGCGCTGGTGGTGGTGGTGTCGGCCGGTACTTCAGTCACAGCAGGAGAGCATCACTTGAGATTACATTACTCTCGGTAGCTCATCGAACAGCACCTCCAACAAGGCCCTTCACCTCGCGCCCCTCATCGTCGTGGCCCAAGATTTCGCACAAATAATAGTCGCATATATGTGTCGCCGACGGCCTTGTTCCTCTATACCTACTATATCATATGTTTGCATCTCATTGTGCGGCGGCGAATTGCTTATTAGCGCCATCGAACGAGAAATCGATTAGTGCGGTATTGTGCATTCAACCTGATGCCTGTATGCTAATGATTTGTTTACTATGCTGTTGTCTAGTTGAGCCATTTTTAGCTGCTGAGCGCGGGATGGAGAGCTCAAGACTGACACCTTCTGCCGTGGCTCCTACTTGTAATAATATGCTTAAATGGGTTCTTGAAGAACAGCAACAAAAAACGGGAAGGTTGCTACTAAGGTGTTTGCACTGTTTCAGTAATATGCTTTATAGTCCTTTCGCAGCAAAAAAAAAATCATTCGATCGCGTTGATCATACATACACCCTAGCCACAAATGGTGGATGCTTTTGAGCCACAAGTCTTCCCGCAAAGGGAGATAAGTGGCTGTTTAGAAAAAAAATGAGACATGTAAGTGATAAGTAGCCGGAATGCTGCCATCCCGAGTGTAAACACCGAGTCGAATTGATAAGCCAAATACACCCGCACCGTGTCTGTCGGCTTCCAGCGCGTTGAAATGACTGTACAAACCTGTCCGAGATTCATCTCACCAGTCGATGTGTAGTAGTGGGGACTTTTATGAGCCGCCCTCGAATCTTCCCGTGTCAATGCTTATCAGAATGTTTTCAACGGTGGCGATAGGGGGCAAAATTATTGAACCGGAATAATATAGGAACGTTTCTTGCATTAAACTCTCCCACTAAAATTGTTCTTCAATTTTGTTTTTTCGCTTATCCCAAACAGGTACCGGTGAATCGGGTAAATCGACATTCATCAAACAGATGCGTATCATCCACGGTAGCGGTTACTCGGACGAAGACAAACGTGGCTTTATCAAACTAGTGTACCAAAATATTTTTATGGCAATGCAGTCGATGATTCGGGCGATGGACCTGCTAAAAATACAGTACAGTGATCAAACGAACACCGTAAGTAAAGTTCTTCCGTTAAAATGTGTTGTTGTTTATACTAACGTACTTCTTTGTCAATTGTAGGAACATGCGGAGCTGATACGAAGTGTAGATTTTGAAACGGTGACAACATTCGAACCGCCATACGTTCAAGCAATCAAGGATCTGTGGGCTGACGCTGGCATCCAGGAATGCTACGACAGGAGGAGAGAGTATCAGCTAACAGATTCCGCCAAATAGTACGTATTCCCGTTACGTTCCATCTTTCCTTATGTCGTGTAACAATAGATCACATATAATTATTGCAAAGATCGATTCCCTTCTGGGCGTAGTCGCATTTCAGTACCGTTTTGATACTTAGATCTTTTACAGAACGCACATTCCTACTAGTTTACGGTATTAAACATATATTTCCTCTGTTCTCTATCCGTTTGAATCGTTTCCAACTCGTACCTCTCCAAATAATCCCGTTTCAACCAAAATCAACAACAAAACAGTTACCTAATGGAAATTGACCGTGTGGCGGCGACCGACTATCTTCCAACGGAGCAAGACATTCTGAGAGTGCGTGTGCCCACGACGGGAATTATCGAGTATCCCTTCGACCTAGAGGAGATTCGGTTTAGGTACCCACATATAAGAAACGATCAACTCGTATTTTTTTATTTTTCTGCTTGCATCGCGAACACCACAATGACAGTGTTTCGTTCGATTATTTTTTTTTTGGGCGAATGTCGTTCGTTGCATCTTTCTTGTTCTTTTCTGTTCTGGTGACCTAATATCAACGCATCAGCAGCATCCACCTTAACAAATAACCGTCAAGCGCATCTAAGATTTATGTTCCTTTTGTGTTTTACCACTACACTTATAATTCATACAAGATAACGCAAAGCAAAAAAAAAAAAAACAGCCGTCGACCTAATTGTACTAATTCCATCATATTTGTACCTACTTTTTTTACCTTTACTCGTTTCTCCCATCTGTCTGCGCATCATGACCTAATCACTCATGCTCTCTGGTTCACTTTCTGGCCGTTGCCAAAGTGAAAACTGCACGCAACATTATTATATTTATTTTACCTAGATTTACCATTTACTTTCAATCATCATTGTTCGCTGGCTTTCTGACATGTGCGTGAGTGTGTCTGCCTTGATGGGTCTTGTCTCAGAGCGCTCATTCCAGCGTTGGGCGATTACGGGATGGCTGTGTATATTTGTTTTCCCCCGTGTCCGTGATGGCGCTCTCATCTATCATAATCATATCAGCGAAACGTTTTTCCACTTGAAGCATACACGGCTACTAGTAGCCACCACAGGCCAACGATTCTGACGAGTCATCCTCGGGCCAGTCGTCGGGAGAATCATATCTTCTCCTAGGACCATCATCAGACCTATGGAAAGACTACTCGCCCAACGCTCATGAAATCCGTCCACTTTTCTCCTCAGTTTGTAAGTAATTTGTTTTGACATATTGCTTCGCTCACGTGCCCGGTTGCATGTGCGCCGCCGCCACTTGGCCAAACAGCAACCGGATTGCTGCAAGTTGGCAAGCTGCTATGCAAGCGTAGTGCAACCGTGCGCCCCTTGTCAGTCATCTGCCGCAACTGACTAACTAGCAGTCACTCAGTCTGTAGATGCTTCTGCCGTGTCTGGACGAGAATGACTGACTGTGTGTGCGAGCCGATCACGAGCGGTTATGATAACTCACACATAAGGCTTTCCGCGATCGGTAACTGTTCCGAGAAAAAGAGTCACATGATGGTTTGTGTCCTTTGATCTCCCGTCGCACAACGTCGCCCATCGTCAGGGTGCTGGTGGTCACGTGATTTCTGCGGTGGGTGCGAATGTTATGTGATTAGGCGTTTTTTTTTTCTAAGCAGGTTGATATTGGATAGTTTGATCGGAGGGTTATCCATTGTATATAAGTCCTTAGGCGCCACAAATACCCTGCAAAGGAGGGTCTGCTAGTCACGCCTCAGTTTCAATTGTCAATACATTTCCAATAGTGGGCAAAACTGTATCAAATCGGATCAAGTAACTCTTACTATTTGTGTCACCATTTCCCATTTTATCGGGCACACATTTGACGATCTTTATCCTACTTAAAGCGTTTCTTTGAAGAGTCATTTTTTGCTTCCCACCTCGCGATGTCAAGAGCGCTAATCTCAAGATTTATGAGGTTTACAGATCGGCAAATTTAAGACGTTGGTGGCTTTTTTTTTTGGTAGCAAAGTTAAAGCAGTTTCAACCTTGAAATGTTGACTTGTGGAATTGCGAAAAAGGACCCTACAAGGATTCACCTTAATGAGCTTCGAAGCTAAGGCTGGTATTCAGTGCACAATGGTCCCAAAGCCGTATTTAGGAAGACAAAAATGTTTGCGTTAAAACCGTTGGTTTTAGGCATATGGTGACTTCCGAACAGTTTCTTCATATTTTTTGGCAAATTTTTTCATGTTAGTGAAATTAGGGTGGAATTGGTGAATTGCAAATGTAAACTTTTTTATTATTTAAGATAGACCAATGCAATGTTCTAGAAAGTTGCAGAACAATCAATTTGCGGCACCTTTACTGAAGACACCAAACTTCTATCTCTTATGGTTGATGAGTTATTTTTTAAATAATCAAGTTAGGGTGGCCCCTTCAAAATTGGTTTTCTATGAATATCTTTTCATACGTTCATTTCTTGTAAAAAAAATTCTAGACATTTTTAGAACTCTCAATGACAAATATTTTTGCTGAACCAACCAAGTTGCTATCTTTTTTTATTGGAAAATTAAAGGCGACTTTCTTAAAAAAAAAACTGGCATTTTTTAATTGTCAATATATCTAAAAGGAGCGAACCGATTTTCAAGTTTTTAAATCCATTCGAAAGATCATTATTTTGTTCATTTGCGGTGGGAAAACTGCGAGAGCAGCATTGCTTAGAGCATTTAATTTAATTTTTAAAAGTTCATATTTCTATGCAAAAAACTGCCAAAACTCTTCAAATGAAGGAGATAGTATCTTAATTCGACAAAAATGTGCGCCATCAAAAGTTCTAAAAGTGTCTAGAACATTTGTTAATCATAACTCATGAACTATAAGAGATAGAAGTTTGGTGTCTTCAGCAAAGGTGCCGCAAATTGATTGTTCTGCAACTTTCTAGAACATTGTATTGATCTATCTTGAATAATAAAAAAGTTCACATTTGCAATTCACCAATTTTATGGACTACCTTAATTTGCCAAAAAATAAGAAGAAACTCTTCGGAAGTCACCATATGCTTAAAACCAACGGTTTAAGCGCAAACATTGTTGTCTTCCTAAATACGGCTTTGGGACCATTGTGCAGTGTTTGCTGCAGAGAAGCATACATTTTTAGATTCATGTAATCTCTGGATGACGAGATCAGTACCCCACCAAAATGTGAACTTGTGAAGTAGGTGTGTTTTCGCTGAACCTTAACGCTGAAGTTTTGAAGTTCTTTCATTTCAACAGTTCGCGAAAAACGTTTACCTTGCAGAATGCAAAACGCTGTTCTGCTTTCAGCTGTTAAAATGTTACAATTAAGGACTTCATATTTGAAAATTAAATGTAACGTTTTAAACGATTTGATTTGCCAACATACGTGTGTATACGGTTTAATTTATAATAACAAAAATCTGTTTGACAAGCCTTACGGATATCCGGACTGATTTGAGATTAGGGCGTAATTTGTTTTGTAAACAATGACTTCAATCTTCGATTTTTAGTGAATCATTGCTCAATCTCACAATCTAACAACACAAACAAGCATGATCCTCTCGCGATACCCTTAAAATAATCCCCATAACTGATTTGGATATCTTCTAACATTCACGTTGAGATTATTCAAAAATTTGTCGGAAATTCTTCTTGGAATTTTCTTTTAAGGGGGTAGTACACTTTAAACGTCCAAAAAGTAAGGCATTTTCGTTAATTTTTTTAAACAATAAAACACTCAGGGAGGGCAAATATGTTATCACCCATTTATTAGCCATCCTTCGAACTACAATTTGTATTTTTTTGAACTCGATTGGCGTCTCCCCGTGGCCGGTGCACCAGGTCGCGCGGGCATCCTCGCGCGGAAGTCGGAAAACGGCGTGGGCAAATACTCCTTTCCATAAGATCCTGGAACATAAATCGAACAAAAATCCTGATTAATAATGAAATTTGGATTTTTTTTAAATTAATTTTTTTCAAAAGTTGTGGCCTTAAGAAAAAAAGAGTCAATTTTTTCACCCTAAAAATGCTTACAAAATCGTGGATTAAAAATCCATTTTTGACAAAATCGAAAATGTGGATACGTATTTCTAAGCAGAATTTAATTCTGAACAAGAAAACCTAGGCGATATCCAAATTTGATGATAACTGGTTAGAGTTATTTCCCACGCCAGTTTGAAAAACCCCGTTTCGAGATAAACGCGTTTAAAGATAAAATTGCTCTCTCAGCGCGCCGGTACATGTTTTAGGAAATCGCTTCGTAAAGCGGTAAGGAATATTCTGGCGGACTTGGAGTCTTTTCTAAATTAAAGTATACATCCCAAGGAAAATTTCAAGCCAAAAAATGCAGTTTTTAGAAAAATCAAAGTGTACTCCCCCCTTAATTATATTCTGAAATCCTTTGAAAGTTATACGTATTTTGATCTCACAAATACAGACCGCGGTTTAAAAGCTACCCGACATAATAATAATCTATGTCTCAAATTACAATTTTGATTTTATCATACTGTTGTCGATCATGATTTAAACTTGATATTTAAAACTTCGATAAAACTTGTAATGTTATGAAGAGCTTTGAGTGTCTTAGTTTATTTCCTTTTAATTCCGTTATAATTGCTTATCTTTTGACAGATACGGATATTTCGTCTACTACTTGCAAACTTCAACAGTGCCAAGCACTCAACACCACTAATGTTATTCCCTGCATTTGAAATTGGCCAAAGAATTCGCAATTGAATTTCCACTGTTTTTGACTAAAGTAAAAGTATTGGAGGACTGCGAGGAAAAAACGAAAAGAAAGTTACATAACAACAAACTGAGGTCACTACAATACTATTTGAGAGATCAGAAATCACACAGTTCAGTTCACACAGCTATGGTTCAATCCGTCGAAGGTTTTGTGGTAAATCGCTCGACGCAGCAGTTCTCAGAACAATTGACACTTCTCAACAAGGGATTAGGATATGCGATCTCCTCAAAACCTGACGTGGAAGAGGCCATCGTTGACATGGAGACTGCAATCACTCACACACTTCCTATTCAATTACACGAGACTGCTAGGAATATTATTTCAGAGACAATACAAAACGGAAAGGGACATTCACTTAGTAAAACCGAAAAACAGGAAATTCGAATTCTCAAAGAACCAGTGATGGAAAAGTTCGCGAAAACTCACTATGACTCGCGAACTTTTCCCTTGGTGAACTTCGTGAAATATCGCGAACTTTTCCAACACTGCAAAGAACTAAAAACAATGCCGGTATTCTATACAAAATCGTACAAAGGTAATGCAGTAAAGATTTTGGACAAAGAGGACTATGACAATCGGATGACGGAAAAAAATACTAATGGTCCATACAGGCAGTTGAGCATTGACCCCCTCCCAGCTATGGTTAAACATGTGGGTAA